TGTACCGATGTGATCTTACTAGGAGTTTCTACTAGAAAATAGACACCTGCTCCGCCTATTATTATATGAATAAATTTGTATACTGCCCTTCATCTGTAGACTTCAGGGCGGTTCACAATCTAAAAATACAAGACGAAGAAACATAATAAAAGCAAGAACAAAAACCAATACCGCCTCCAGCCCCTCCCCCAACACATTTAAAAGGGCATTGGATGTCAAGCAGCCAAAGGCCTGGTTAAAAAGGAACACTTTCACACGGCGCCTTAAAGGTGTATAATGAAGGTGGCATCTGAACCTCCCTGGGGAAGGCATTCCACAAATGGGGAGCTATTGCAGAAAGGGCTCATTCTTGTGTTGCCATGCTCTGGACCTCTTGAAGAGGTACACAGAGAAGGGCCTCCGATGATGATCTTGGGGTCCCCGTAGGTTCATATGAAGAGAGGAAGTTCTTGAGGTATTGCGATCTTGAGCCATTTAAGGCTTTGTAGGTCAAAACCAGCACTTTGAATTGGGCCTGGAAATGAATTGGCAGCCAGTGCAAGCAATGCATACGTAAACATAATAAAGGTATCTATTTTAAGGTTTCTGTAGCTGTTGTTTTTGCCATAGTTCCTGTTACAATCACTTGCTATTCAATAACACTGATTTACTGCTATGACTCCCTCCCACCACCACCTTTGAATGAACTATATATCTGTGTGGTTTCTTTTGTTTTGCATTGCCTCTCTTTAAATAAAAATCCTTCCACATTCTCTAATTGATTGTATTCAGCGCATAAGTGGTCCAAACCAATGCCAATATTGATTTTAGTCTCTTTTTTTGCTGTCAGTTGCAGAAAAAACAACAATGACTGCTCAGTGGTAAGCTTTGATATCAAAGTTTTGTTCATCTATTCTAGTAGTTCACACTCCATTAAAAAAATACTTGTAAATCATAACTGACACATGTAAGCTTTAATTTTCTCCCCATGGTAGAAGCTTTTGAAGCAGATGCAGAAGATTTCCTGTTGTTCTAAATGTATTCCTTTACTAACCTCGTCTTTAAATAGCTTGCATAAACCAAGGCTGCCATCATGCAGTAGAAAACCCTATGCTACATGTGTGTTGGCTCATTTGCATTCCTGGTACAGGCATGGAGACCGTGCACATGACCGAACTGATGTATATGCTAACACGTAAACACAAAAAGAGCCCTGCTACTCGGCAAGACCAAAGGCCTTTCTGGTCCAACATTCTGTTCCCACACTGGCCAACCAAATGCCTACGGAGAGCCCTGATAGGATATGAGTGCAATAGCCACTTTCCTCTGTTGTTGCCCAGAAGTTGGTACTCAGAGCCATTCCATCTCTGATCCTGAAAGCAGAATGTAGCCATCATCGCTAGTAGCCATTAATAGTCACTTCCCTCCACATCTTGTTGCAGCAAATTCCATTGTTTACCATGTGCCTGAAGTGGTACTTTTATCCGTCTTGAATCCCCCACGCTTTAGCTTCATTTGAAACGGAGAAAAAAGCCTCTACCCACTTTCTCCTAAAGTAAACTGGTTCCATGGCACCTGTCATGTGGAGAACCCACTTGGATAGGCTTTATAAATACATGTTGCTCCCCTATGCTAGAGTCATTGAACTACTTTCAATACTGACTCTTCTGAATAGCAGCAGCTCTCGCTAAGGTATCAGATGATATTTTTCAGCTCTAGGGATTGTGCTAAGGTTCAAACCTGGAGCCTTCAGAATGGGCCCATCTGTAACACTATGATGGGTGCATTGTTTTCAAAAACAAAAAAAAAGGTGAGGAGTGGGTAGTTTGGGGATTGTGACACCTTCCTCTTGCTAGGTTTCCCATTGTTAGAGTGAAAATGGGAGTTTGGGGTACCAGCTGACTAGATAAAAGATTCCCCATCTTTGAGGGGATAGGATAGAGGATTTAAAATTGTTCCTAATGTGTTTTGTATCATCAGTGTTGATAAAAAATGTTGCATTTTTATTTACATTGCCTTAACAGTGTAGTTTGGTAACTTGCAAACAACAGAAACTACATTTAATTTCTAATATATTTTGATAAATGGTAACTAATGATAATGATAAATACCTTGTCTTGTCACTTTCTGCCATATGTTATTGTCTTAGTCAGAGTTATGTTTTTCATTCCATGTAAATTCAATACGGTCATTTTTCCAGGGTTTCTTTTTTTAAAAACTACATACTTTCTTTCCAGCCATATGGCTTGCACAGCCCATGAGAATTCAACAATTTAACTTTCAGCAGCTCCATTTTTCATCGTGTCCTTTCCGTATTGCCTATCTTTGCATTTTTGTTTGTTTCTACTTCAGTTTAGCCATCTGAAGTTACATATCTTGCAGTAGCGAACTTTCTTCAAACCATAATTCTTTTAAAGCAAACTCATAGCTTAGAATAAGTGCTTTACATAAACCTTACCATGTTTTGCAATAAAAATATTCAAAACTGGTGGTGTCCACTACAGGCTGCTTAAACAGTGAATGGACTTTTGTTTACTAATCTTCTGTGTTGTCCTGCTCCAACCAAGTTCTACTCAGAGTAGGGCCATCAAAACGAATGGACCTTAGTGACATCCAATTCCAATAGGTTTACTCTGAGTGTGACTAATGTTCACTACAATCTTACAGTCAGGCATTTTATGCATGGCTAAAACCAAAAAGTGGGGAGTAGCCTCGCTCCTTGCTGGCCATGTACACAGTGTGCATGTGCAAGGAAGGAGTGTTCACACATACATCAGTATATGTGAAGGCTCCCTCCCTGCAGCATCCATACTATATACATGGGATGCTATGGGGCAGGACTAGTCGACATATGAGTGCACCCCACCCCTGCCCTAATCTTACCCCTGCAACTAATGCTGGAATAGGACTTTGTGTTAAAGAATTAAAGAACAAGTACAGTGGTGCCCCGCAAGACGAACGCCTCGCAAGACGGAAAACCCGCTAGACGAAAGGGTTTTCCGTTTTGGAGGCGCTTCGCAAAACGAATTTCCCTATGGGCTTCCTTCGCAAGACGAAAGCCCATAGGGAAATCTCCGGGACAGCGGGAAAGCGCAGCGCGTCTTCCCCACTGTCCTCGGACCTCCTCCGAAGGCTGGCGGCGGGCGGAGAGACCTCCTCCCGCCGCAAGCCTTCGTTTCTCCGCTATTTTGAAGGCAGGCGGGGGGGAGCAAAGACTTTCGCCCCCCGCCCGCCTTCAGAAGAGGTCCAGGACCTCTTCTGAAGGCGGGCGGGGGGGGGTTGAAAGTCTTTGCTCCCCCCTGCCTGCCTTCCCGGGAGAGCGGAGAAACGCAGCGTGTTTCTCCGCTGTCCCGGACGGCTTTTGAAGGCAGGCGGGGGGGAGCATAGACTTTCGCCCCCCGCCCGCCTTCAGAAGAGTTCCTGGACCTCTTCTGAAGGCTGGCGGGGGGCAAAAGTCTTTGTCCCCCCTGCCTGCCTTCCCGGGGGCTTTTAAATCGCCCCGGACAGCGGAGAAGTCCCCCGCTGTCCCGGGGCTTTTTAAAATGCTGGGGGTGGGAAGAAAAGCCCTTGGTCCCCCCCCAGCCTTCAGAAGAGGTCGGGGGACAGACTGTCCCCGGACCTGGTCTGAAGTCGGTTTCCATAGGAACGCATTAATTGATTTTCAATGCATTCCTATGGGAAACCGTGCTTCGCAAGACGAAAAACTCGCAAGAAGAAAAAACTTGCGGAACGAATTAATTTCGTCTTGCGAGGCACCACTGTACTCTAAACCAGAAAGGGATGAGCCAATATTGAATACTGGGGAGAACGGACCCCCCCAACAACAAGACACTACCACAAATTCAGAAGTGCATAATAATTTGTCCAAAGATAAGGATTGATCCTGGGAATGCAGGTTGGCCATAAATGGACTGGTTAGGTCAAAATCAACAATGTTGTGTGGTTTTCACTGCAATAATGTGGATTTAACATAGGCAATCCAGAGGGCAAAGTGCAAATATTTTCCTTTAATAAATCCAGGCAAAATGATAACTATAGATGAATAACCACCCGGTGCTTAATCAGAGGGAACAGTCACACTTTAATATTTTGATGTTATCAACAGGAGCGACATTACCTGTGGCTCTCCAGTTTTTCAGACAGGGTAATTAACTCGAGATGCTAATTGGAGACTGAGCCTAAGATCTATGGCATGCAACCTCTGCATGCACCGCAGATGTTCTATCACTAAGTTACGGCCATCAAACGCATTTCACTGTGTTACATAATAAGTAACCACAACAGATCCTCTCTCTAACTTAGCTGCAGGAGAAGGTCTTCCAAGTCAGCAGAGCTGACCCTACTCAACAGAGCAGGCGGAGGCAGCAAATGCTGTGTGCGCAATGCACTCTATCCCCGTCCCCTATACCCTCAGGTGCTGTTGGTGAAGTTGCATTCAGTTCTGCGCATGGAAGCCGTGCGTGCCTGTGGAGATGCCATCTGACCCTTTGCCTCGGGCACCAAAATGCCTTGGGCCAGCCCTGCAAGCCAAAAAGGTGTGCGGCTTTCAAGAGCAGAAGAAACGCCTTTCTGCAAGAGAGCACAGCTTCATGAGGGATGCCCAGCTGCACAGGCAGGCAGCCCTCCTCAGAGATGCATTTGGGCAGGTGCAGCATGTCATGCTCCACTTCCTGCTTGCATCCTCCTCTCCCACACAAAGGCACACTCTCCTCCTTGGCAGCGAGGCCGACCCCCGTCCATTGAGCCAGCCTGCCACTGAGAAAACCCCCCAAGCGAACTACTACTAGCCTCCTGGGCCCTGCCTGCCAATGTCACCCCAAGCATTTAAAAAAGGAGGAGAGCTCCACTTTGCAAGCACACCCAACATACCCACTCCAACACCTGGTGTCCAGAGAGCACCTTTGGAGCAGGAAACAGCTGGGCTTCCATTTTGGACCCTGACCTCTCCTCCTTAGCCGGATTTGGTCGACCAGTCCCTCTACCTGTAGGGAAGTTAAGCCTTGGAGAGTGGGAGGGAAGAAAGAGATGGAAGGTGTGTTGAGGAGGAAGAGGAAGAAGAAGGGCCAGCGGGCGCGCTTGGCCCGCCTCGGCTGAGGGAAAGCTGTGGAGCTTGCAGCGCGAGCCAGTAGCAGCAGCAGCGCGTCGAAAGAGCTGCGCGAAGAGAGCAGCAGCAGCGGCAGGCAGTTCATTGCGAGGAGGAGGCGCCTGGCGCTGCCGGGCGAGGAGGAAGCGAGGCAGGGAGGGGCCGCCTGGCTGGCTGAGGCTGGTGAGCCGAGGGGACGGCGCTGGTCGCTGTCCTGGGTGTTGAAGGGAGCCCGCCGGGGAGCGCCTGCAGCCTGGCCCCGGAGCCGCCGAGGTGGCATGGACTGAGCCGCTGCGAGGGGACAGGAGGACCAGGCGGGCCGGGCAAGCAGGCAGCAGGCAGGCGCTTGCCATGGGCCACGCATGATGGGGTCGCCCGGCACCTCCAGCCTCGCGTTCCGCCTGCTGCAGCAGCTGCTCCTGGTCCTCGTCGTCGCCCGGCACCGAGGCGGAGCCGCCGCCGCCGCCAGCGCCTCTGGAGCAGAGGCCAAATTCGGTGAGTTGGAGAGCTGGGCTGCAAGGGAAGGAGAGGCGCGCGGCGGAGGACGCGCAGGGCAGGAGGCGCCGCCGCTGCAGCCGCCGCCGCCGCAGGAGGGAGGAGAGGGCGGGGAAGGGGAGAGGCTGCCCGCCGGGCCAGGGCAGGTGAGCCAGGGCCGCCCGCGGGCGGGAAAAGTGGCGACGCCGACGCCGCCCCTCGAGCCTCTGAGGCGCAACTTGTGAGGAGGGCGAAAGGGCGCGGGGATCCTTCCCTGGCTAGCGCAGGAAACCCTGCCCTCCAGGGGCCTGCCTGTGTCCCCGCGGCCGAAATCCTTCTCCTGAGGAGACCTTCTGTTTCCCTCCACACACCCCTCAGTCGACACGTATATTAATTCCTCCCCTCACATATTCTTACTGAGGTGCGCAACACCTGCTATCCGCGCGTGCGTGTGTATCCAATTAATTTAATTTCACAGCTTTTGTATACCGCTTGGTCGGTTACAGAAACCCTCAAAAGCGGTTTCTACGCGTGTGTGTAGATACACCCACACTTACACGCGTGTATTTCAAGTCCCCTGTTAGCAGAGGTTTGGGTCAGCCCTTGCACACCTGTGTGTTTTTACCTGCCCCCCCCTCCTCCCTCAGGTGTTCCCATTGCCACCCAGTTGAGCCTCACTTGACTCACCCCTTGCAGGGCTTGAGGGGAGGCCGCTACTACTTTGCAGACCCCCATTCCTCCATGTTAAACCCCCCCCCCCATATTTTGTCCCCATGGACAGCTGCTGCTCTGCTCAGCACCAAGAGATCTCTTTCACAAATCATCCTCTTACAAGTTATACTTTGTGAAGTCTATGGCACTAGCAAAGCAACTGCATTTCCACTTGTGGCCTCCACACGCTCCGTATGCACCTTATTACAGGGCCATCTCCAAGGGCTGCCCCAGGTACTTCAAGAATGTTCATTTCTTCAGACCCACAGGCTGCTGCGAACATCCTACAACCCACCCTGCTCTCCTAATGTTCCTTGCTAGGCCCATCCAAAGTTAGATAACCAACTCATTGGCCTCCTCAGTGCACACCACTGATATTTCCCCCATTTGAAACATCTCACCTACTTCCCAGTGAAGCCTGGTGGTGGTGTTTTTCCAAAATTCTACATTGTTGTGAAGTGCCCTGGGATCTCTGGGTGAAAGGCAGTATACAAATTTAAGAAACAGCAGCAGCAATAATAATGCAAAATTCAACTCACTGAATCAAGAAGTTCCATTAGTCACATGTACTAGAGTTGATCACCCAACTGTTGTTGATCATTTCATAAACCTTCATAGACAATTTCTTACTGGAGAGTCACACATTCCCTTGGCCTTCAACTTTTGCTCTTGCCCTTCAACTTTTTTACCCACCTAGCTTATTTCTCTTCTTCAATTCCACCCGCCCCCCAGCAATATTCAGATGGACCATTTCCCTTTCTCACCTAATTAATTCAGGTAAAGTCGTTTATAGGTCAGACTCCCTAGGCAAATTGATCCTCACTATATACCTATCAAACTATCATCTCGTTGAACATGCTGGCCAAAGATGGAGTTCTTTTTATTGATATTACCTTTTTGTAGTTGTAAGCAATCCTTCTATAGCAGATACACTGAATATATATTCCTTACCAATAAACACTCCAAATGAAGGAAATTTTCAATATAATTTTGTAGTCATTCTTCAAAACCTTTCCCCCCTTTTAAGAGATATCCTCCCAACTTAACTAATGTTACTGTTAATCCTCTAAAACTTGCACCATATCACTCTTTACCTGTTTAATGCTTCCTGATATCTGAGCTCCACATATTAAAAGTATTCCCGTTATAATTGTAGTGTACAGTGGTATTCTGAAAATAAAGTGAATTCTAACTCTATAAGCCCATTTATTTTGCCAATAACAATATAGTGCAGATTGCAGTTGCAAACTCTCCCAAACAATGACATGCTGACAGGATTATTGTTACAAACTTCCTGTGATGAAAACAAAAACTTGTCTTTTGGCACCTTAAAGTCCTACAGTTTTATAAGCTTTCAATCTTCATCACAATCCATCTTGTAGCCTTTAAGGTACCATAATAATAGCTTTTGCCATAAAAGCTAGCTTTTCTATCCCTCTAGAATTTGTTCCCTTATTAGCTGATTCCCTATGAACACATTTTATCATTGAAATTCCATATTCTCACTGGAGTCACACAGATACCTAGAGATACATTAAAGAAAGCTAGACTTTGAAAATGACATATTAAGTCACATACTGAGAATCTGACTCAGTGCCATTAATCTGTTCACCCCAAGCTTACTTTATATTGGGGGGGGGTCATTTTTACTGAGAAGCCACCTGAGACCCTGCAATGTTACAATGACCTATATAGGCCATTCCAGCCTCATCTTTGCTATTATTTTTGTGAGAGAACAGGTTGCCTCAGCTTGTGTCCTTGTAGAGCTTGGCACTTACTGACTGACTAGAGCAGGTAAAAGAAGAATCAGCCTTACATTAGTCTCTGTTAAAAGCTCTCTGTTAGTAAGAGCAAATTAATAGAACCTATGTTTCCATGCTTGCTTCCCAGCTGAAAGGGTCATGGGATTAAGCTGATAATATTTGCAGGAGTCTGCACACTGAGATTAAAATAATAATGTGTTCCATATGTTAAAAGATGTGGACAGGTGTTTAAAGGAAACTGGATTGGAGGTAGCAGTACTAACAATTATAAATGGGACAGAAAAACCATTCCCATATCTTGTTAAGGGATGCACTTGTCCAGAGTAAACGCTACCTGTTATTTATAAACCGAAATCCACCCTTTCACTGCTCCTTAACACATTTATGCATTTGCCTCATAATGGTTCTAAGCATGCATTGCAAATAATTTGGGAAGCACAGGAAGGATAACACAAAACCAGTACGTGGTTTCCCCCAGATGGTTTTCGAAAGGTCAGCCTGCGCACTCTAGATTGATTTGTGCAAGCACTAAAGTCAATTTAAAGGACAAACCTGCCCTTGAATTAAAAAGCAAACTCAGAACTAGTTAGGCAACCTTGGGGGCAATCATAAATGGAGCCCACTCCTTTTTAAAACAGGGAAGTAATTTGAAATCCCAGCAGTGTGTTTGAAAAGGAGAAAGAACCAGGAAAACAAGCACTTTGCTGTGATTTAAAAGTATTTCACTATTTTAAAAAGGAGTGGGCTCCATTTATGACTGTGCCTAAGCTTGCTTAACTAATTCTGAGTTTGTCATGCTGTGGTGGAAATAGTTTTAAAATATTATTTTAAGAGATTATAGAACATTATCACTAGGACATGGACAAAATCGGCACCAGGGTCTTTTTCTCTGTTAATAAAGTGTTGAAAATGAGAGAAATGTAGTGGTGCCAAGAAGTGCTTCTACCTTGAAAATAAATATCTTTCTGAAACATCTGACTGAATACAACCAAAGTAAATGCCACCACATTTGAAGAGCAGAAAACAGATGCAAGGCACTGATGCCTCGCCTTCAAACTATCAAGTTTATGTTGTTGCTTTTCCATTTTCTTGTTTCAAAATATCTCTTGGAACTGAATGTTGAATTTTTAATGCGTTCAGACATGCATAAGTAACTACTTATTATACCAGCAAACATATTATTTGTTTTTATAGTGCCGTTGGTGCATACGATTCTTTATACAGCAACATTTTATTCATTTGGAATATTTAGGACCTGCGTTTTCCATCTGAAAAATGTTCTCAGAGTGACTAAGAATTATTATTTTTTTTAAAAAGGAACATCAAACAGATTTAAATAGCAAAATAAATCCTTAAAGCTAAAAGCTGGAATAAATCCAAAATGGAATAAAAATAACAAGACAGACTACCTAAAAGGCCTGGGTAAGTAAAGTCCTTACTTCAGGTTGATGCCAGGCAAGGTTTTCCTAGGGAGAGTATTCAAAAGATGGGGTGCCACAACTGAAAAGACCCTAAATGTGGGTTACTATCTTAATATTTGGGTATGCTTTATCTTAAGTATAAAAAAGTGTCACTGGCTCAAAGAACATGCAATCTACAATTTAGTATTGGAAGAAGAAAGCAACAGAGAAAAGTATGGTATGGACGATAGGGGAAGTCAGGTGGGATGAACAGATGCTAATGTAGTGACATGTGTTTTCAGTTGGGGGTGTTGACTAAAGGATAATGATGAAAGGAGGACTTGAAGGGAGAAAGAGAGAAAAATGACGCTATCAAGAAGTTCTGGGATACAGTTCTCTAGGTATGAGGAAAGAAAGTGAGAAAGGGTGGAACTTCCAGGAACCAAAAGTATTTGATACCGCTGAAGATGGTAGAAGCAAGGACCACCGTAATGGATTTTGCTGTCCACATAGATGGCTTTAAAATAGGATGATACAAATTCATGGAGGATTGGACTATCAGTGGTTGATAGTTATCATGGTAATACCATTTCCACTGCCACAGGCAATATGCCTCTGAACCACCAGTAACAGGGGGAACACAAATGAGAGAAGGCTATTGTGCTCATTTCCTGTTTGAGGCATTCCCGTAGGTATCTGTGAGAGCAAAATGCTGGTTCTACATGGTGCCCTCTTCAAAGGCTGGGAAGGTTCTCTGAAGGTACGCCTCTAGGGAGCTTCCCTGAGCACAGCCTTCTCCATAGGAATGATATCTTTCACCAAAGATTGAAGAGCTGCCCTGGACAGGAGTGCCAACTTGGCTCCGCAACCGTGGGTGCCTGGGGACATGGGTGCCATGCAGTGTGCATGGCCCTGGCACCGAAATTTTGGGTGCCTGGCCCCTTAATGGGAAATTTTGTGGGTGCCGAGGCACCCAGGGCCCCAGGGAGTTGGGACCTATGGCCCTGGACATGTCTCATTTAAACCTCATTCCCATTATATAATTGATTCGCAGTTCTATCACATTGAAAGGATAGGGAATAAGGATTCAGCCTGTGCCGGAGGGCGTGTGTGTGTTACACTCCCCCTGAAAACTTAGGTTCGCTCC